CAAAAAAAAAAAAGAAAAAAGGAAACAAACACAGCCTCAATATCACTCAAAACCCGTGTTACCCTTGCATCACAGCAGAACTCCCATTACACCCTTTCTTCAGCATATACACAGAAGCATGAGAACCAAACAAGCCAACGAAAAAAAAAAACCTAATCGGCAACATGTACGAACAAAAAAACAACAACGAATTTTCCCCAAAATCTTGAGAGCTTCACGTTCTAGATCGAAGAGCATGAGAATGCACAAATGAAAAAAGAAAAAAGAAAAAAAAAAATAAAAAGCCAAAACACACCCTACAAAATATTCGGAAGCTGTGAGTCCAGCCTCTGCTGCAACTCCTTAATCTTCACCGACAGCTCGGATTTCTGCTCCTTGTAGCTCTGAAGCAAATAGTCTTTCCCCTCGATCAGCTCCTTAAGCTCGTGAACCTCCCTCTTCAACAACTCGACCTTCTCCTCGCCTTTTTCAAAAAATCCCAAATTGGCCTCCGTCTCCAAATACCCGTTTTTCACGTCCCCGGGCCAGATTGGGACCGTGGGCGTTTTCTCACCAGGGCCCTTGACTTGGCCCACACAGTGATCGGCAATGGCTTTCCTCAGCCGCTGGATTTCCCTTTCCGACTCGAACAAGTCCCGGTTTGCAGCATCCAGTAAGGATTGGAGTTGGGAGGAGTGAGAAAGTTGGGAGGAGAGAGAGTTTTGGAGGTCGGTAATTTGGTCCTGCATCTCGATTATCGTGTCGTCCCTCTTCTTGAGCTGCTGCCTCAGCTTCTGAATGACCTCTCTCTTGCTGAAAATGTCTGACCCGGATTCAGAAACGCACGGGGACTCGGAGCTATTTGATTGGTGGAAAGGCTTCTGGGGGAGCTCAAGCCGATGATTGGGGGAGGCAGAGGACCAAATCATGCCATTTTCCTTGTCGAATTCGGAGGCTTGGACGGTTACGAGCGAGAGGGGCCTCTCATCGGGTTCGGATATCTGGCCGTTAAGGTGAGGTTTGATCTCGACAGCTGTCCTGAGTCCTGCTTGGTCAGAGCAGAACCAAAAAAAAAAAAAAAGAAAAAGATACATCAATTGTAGAAATTAACTAATTTTATGTAATCGCATTAAGGGTGTAAAAGAGCCGAGCCGAGCTCGAGCTGGAGCTCATGTTGCTCGAGCTTGAGTTCGAGCCCTTAGCGAGCCGAGCTCGGGTCGTCTTGTTAGCTTAACGAGCTTATAATCGAGCTCGGCTCGTTATTCAATATTAACGCGTCGACGTCGAACCTTAACGAGCCAAATCGAGCCGAACTATAGAAAAATACATAAATATCATCTTTTCGAGCAAAGAGGAGCTCACGAGCGGCTCGTTTAATTTAACAGCTCTAATTCACATTAGTGAACATTTGGGATCACTTCTGGAATAAGTTTAAATTTTCAAGTGTTTGGAGAAAATCTGCACACGGTGCTTGGGAGAGTGTTTAGGCGAAAAAAAGAGTAAACCTTAGTCCAACCTAAAACCCATCATGGATTTTATGCCCAATCAACCTACAGAAGGTAAATGGATAATACTAGAAAGTCAAAAAGAACCTGAATAATGATTGTAGCAACCATCTTCATCATGGGGAAAGCAAAAGCCATTTGAGTGCAAACGGCAGCTTGAGGACTTCTTCAGTTCCTCGGATTTTCCATTTACTGCAAACCAGAAGCAACACTTGAAAACAATATAGAACGTTTTCGAAAATGAGCCACATCTATTCAAATATGCGTCGACGAACCTTTAAGACTCTGGCTACTACTGTTTTGTTGCTTAACATCAAAGACCTGCTTAAGCTTGTAACCCAGGCGAATCGAGAGGGTGCTCAACAAAGCACTCCCTGCAATAAGGACCCAGTTAGGGCCCTCCCCATGAATTGCTTTGGAGCCCCTAGATGACTCGGTGGTTCTTCTTGGTTTCATTGTGAGACTTATTGAAACAAATGAGGCCTACATTTGGAGACAAACCACTATATATTACAAGCCAAGAAAATATAAGGGCACCTAACAAAACCCATTTTTCTCGCAAGGAAGCACTTGCTTTCTTTTTTCAACAGGCTCAAATACTTATTTTTCACAAAAAATATCATTGTAGAATTACATTAAAAAGACAGAAACATTTTCTTTCCTCTTTCAAAAACTAAAATCAACTGACAAGTACATTGAGCAATGAATATCTCTCTGCAACTAAGACTATTAGGTTCCTCAAATGAGCAACAAAACACATAAACCAATAACGAATAGCACATAATTAAAGAAAAAAAAAAGTGAATCAAATCAAAACTTCTGCAAACTCCAGCTGCCAAACGAAGCTACAAAAAACAGCAAATAATCGGTACACGCATATTCAACACACGTATTGTCTAGTGTACCTTCATCGTATTCAATGTCAAATCGTGCTAATTCGGGTCTCCAAAATACATCATCCATACAAACACAAACACACCTAAAGTGATAAAATAACCTCCGATTCAAGAGCAAAAAGGCCTCACGAACATCAATTACCAGACAGAAAGCATAAAAGACACCACAAGCAAAAGTTAAATGGATAAATAGGGAAAGGAATTACTTGAATTCCTACTAAGACTCCAACGAGGCTTAGACCGCCACCATTTCAGTCTAAGCTCAAAGCGAACCGCGGCAAAAATTCAGGGTTTACGTCATGTGATGCACAAGAAGGGAACAAATGAGGTAGACTTTTACGGCGGCGCCTGCGATGCTTCGCGGCGGCGGCGATGGAGGAGGACGGAGAAGCAAGGAGTGAGAGAAATGGGACCTAGGGCTGGTTGGAAATTTTCTTATTTTTTGTTACTATTTTATTATTATTAGCAATATCATATCATGATAATTTATTAGTTGTGCACAAAAACTGCTGAACAATAATTTTTATTTACACGTGTTAATTTATTGGGCGACTAAAAAAATTGCCCTGATAAACATAATTTGCCTTTATTTTATTAGTTCAATCCTACTCCATTTTAGCATTTTTATGAGTGTCTTTTTATTTTGAGTACACATCGGTGATATTTATGAAAAATAGGATCGGAGCCAAATCCAACTCAGACTCATTGACTAGTCATTAAATGTGTACGGATTTAATTAATTTATCAATCTTCACGAATTATATATTAAAAAAATTGAATAATCCTGAATCCTCACGTCTCAAGTGATTATTACAATAAACATCTGTCTATTTCTAATTTCTGTAAAAGGCCTCATTTTGGTGTAATTTCACAGGGCCATCTAACAAATCCTTGTTTAACACAGAAAAGTGGCAAACAAAGCAATTGGATCCCTTCAACAACAGCTGCACAGGTTAAGAAAATCCAATAGTGTAGAGTACAACACATCCAGAGAAAGGTATCCCAAAAACTTCCTTGTTTCGGTTTCAACAATAGACATGTCCGAACGAAGCATGGGTTCGCCCGTTTCACCGTCTTCCATTGTGAGCCACCAAGAGATGCAACCATGGGCATCGTCTGGGTCCACGTGAGCCACCAGACGGACAATTTCTTCCTGATCAAGCTCGAATGCCAGAGATAGGAAGTCCCTGTCTGCCTTGATACCAACCGTAAGGGATTCCTCGTGCAACCACTCGATAATTTGACTCGCAATCTAATAACAGAAAAAGAAATATTTCACATACATTTAATATAGCAAACTCATAAACAATTACCATCAGTCGTTGTTTCGAACCTGGATGGTTTGATGTCTTACAAAACAATAAATCAATTGTTCTAAAACTTAAGGATTAAGTTTTTGAGAGGACAAATGGTTATGAGAAGGAAATTTAACATTGAGGGTTGATTCGAAATAATATTAGAATTATGCCAGTAGTGAAATTTACGGATTAAAAACGCAAAAAGAATCATGAGGGCGTGATCAGATATGAATTATAACCAGTTTTAACCGGTTGGGTTATTTCATTTTCATATCCAATCATCTAACTCATAATCCAATTCAACTCTCCTACTTTTTATAAATATTATTAAATAATACCGATCAATCATTCTCTCCACTCGCATAATTTTAACTAAATATCATTTCCAATAATCTTTCTCTTACTTTTACCTCACATCAACTTTAATCGATACATTTTAAATATTATTTAATTTCAAACCCAAAATCATCCACCAAATCAAT